ACCTCCTACTTGCCTGTACTCAATAGGAAAAGGGTTAAGTTCTTCTAGACTACATTCGTAAGATAAGGACTTTAGACTCTTCACAACTTTGTTGCCCTCCTTTGGACTCTTTCCAACGGCTGGTAGTCTTTTTGCAGCCATTAGCGCCACGCCTGAACTCAGTAGTCCAGATCTAAACGAATAAATGCCCCGTATAATTTCCCAGACCGTTCTTTATCGACATCGACAAAAGTTCGCTTAACGGCAAACACAACACGGTTCGCCCTCTTGACAACCCTAACACCTTGCAAAGACGGCTTCAGAGATGGCACAATGATGATTCCCAGGTCCTTTTGTTCGGTTACGTACGACAGGCACCTGCCATTAAGTTGTGATAGTCGCCCATCGCGCTCGCCTTCTTCGTTTTGAGCCACAATGTGATACACTTCTCAAAGGTAAACTGCATTAACCATTTTGGACCATTCACCTAGGCGGTCAAGACCTTCTTGCAGAATTGGTTCATCATAAGTGTTTTTTGAAGCATTTTCTCCCAGGTGCAAAGTTGAAGATTGCGTATATAGCAGCATTTATTGGAACCACAAATTTCGCGAGTGCTCATCAGCTGCGTCTTCTCGCTGCATAAAGTGAGTAGCGAATGAGAGAGTACACAAAACATTCGATTCGTACAGAAGAGGTTATAGAAACAGGTCAGGAAGGTCAATTAGTAAATTGGGTTAATTAGTCTAATTAGTAACGTTAGCAAGTGAAACACTGTGGACATTGAGGTAGGAGAAAAAACGTCAAAGCAGAAATGCGGGCAGGGAGTGTTTGAATCAGCGAGCTGGATGTCACCAGGGCAAAGCTATGTTCACAACACGATCCAGATGTTTACATAAGTCGGGTTTTGACCGTCGTATACAGGCTGCCTCCAGGTAGCACAAGGTACGAGTTGTTCGTGATCAAACAACTACTCGTAAGGATTTTTTAGGGTCAACGGAATGATCCGTATGCAATAGGTGTTCAGTAATGGAAGGACGAGGAGTTCTATCCTCCTGTTCTAATAGCCAACTCGGCAAGTGCTCCTTAGCTCTGGCTGTCAGTTACCATTTTGTTCGCCCTATGTACTTACATCCGCATGTACACGTAAATTCGTGAACATAATTTGAAATGGGGTGCAATGGCAAGGCATCCTTCGCAATTGGAATCGGAAAAGTCTTTGTTAAGTTGCAAAATATGAGCTCAGCAGCAAAGTAGGTCCTTTCAGTGGTGTTACGTAAGCGTCTCTTGATTGTGTTTGAGGTGTTACCACCCTTAAATGGCAAGGATATGAAGACGGGCTTTTTTGGAACTGACTGTTTCATAACTTTTTTTGCCCTAAGGGTTTGCTATGCTTTTCGATAAACTGGGCTGGGCATCCACGCTTGAGTAGAGTTTTCTTTATCCTGGAAATTTCTGTATGCAGTGTATCCATTGAGCAGACATTGCTTGCCTTTGGAAGAGGATGCAAATTAGATTATGTTTCCATTGTATGGGAACAAAACTTAGATAATTTAAGTACTGCCCTTTCCATGGTTTCTTATGGAAAAGTCTTCGCGTTATGGAACCGTCTTTCTGTCTGGCCATGTGAACGTCTGGGAAAGAAAGCTGGTTCGCAAGTGCTACTTCCATCGTAAATTTCATTTTCGGATGCAAATTGTTCATTGTAAACAGTAGTCCTCTGGCTTCCTATGTGTTTTCAACAATCGCAACGACATCATCTATATATCTTATGTAGAGTGTTGTCCTTTTCAATGTTGAAGATATTTTTTCTTCAAGATGACCCATAAAAGTAGTCCTCGTGGTACGCCAGTCCCGTCTTTGAATTTCTTTCGAAATTAATTTACTGTAGAGAAGAAGAAAATGCGATCCCTGGAACGGCAACTTTATTGTTTTAAGTCTTCGGTTTCCCACGAGAGGTCATCGTCAGAGAACATGACAAAGCAGCAAACGTTGGCCACGCGTAAATGGGCGTGGGATAAGGGATGGGCTCGAGGGCCTTAATCAATTAAACCTCCCGATTTCTAGCCGCTATCCGGGGAACAACGGTCCAACCAGATCACATCATAGTATCTTTTGACGTCGTTTCAATATTCACATCTTTCCCACCGGGCCTGGCACGCGACGTCATATGCAAACGACTCGATGAGAAATATGTCGAACCGAGAGGTCCTCTAAAATTGACCATCTAATGTAACTCCTTATCTTCTGCCAAAGAAACTGTTTCACCTTTAATGGCAGAGCATATGGACAGACCAAAGGGATGCCGATGGGCTCCCCAATTTCCAGCCTTATCGCGGAACTGGTCGTAC